GTTAAGCGACCCACTCTTCATTTCAGTTCAGGTCATGATCTTAGGGTTGTGAGATCAAACCCTGAGTAGGGCTCTGTTCTCAGCGTGGAGTCTGCTTAAGATTCTCTCTCTCTCCCTCTCCCTCTGCTCCCTCTCCCACTTACATGCACAAGCTTTCTTTCTCTCTCAAATAAATAAATAAATCTTTTTTAAAAAGAAGAAAATTAAGGATTATGGGGATGGAATGGGGCAAAAAGTGTTCAGATGAGATGAGAAAGCTGAATGGAAAAAATATGGAAAAGATAATGCACAAATATTAATTTTCCTTTGAAAATGGCAAACCCTCTGCTTAAAGCCAAAGAAATGTACTTCTTTCAATGCTCATATTTTTCAAAGGAAGGAAGCCTCAAAATAACAAAAGAAAATCAGACTTGGAGAGAGTCTTGGATCTACTTTACTTCTCTTTCATTTATGAGTCATGTGATCTTGGAAAGTTACTTAAATTGCCAGAGCCACTGTTTCTTCAGTATAAAATGAATCCCCATTATCACAAAATGTCCAAATTCATATTAGGTACCCCAGAAATATTAGCTGTAACTTGTAAAAAGTAGTTCAGCCATTAAAAAGAAAAAAAAAAAAGTATGAAGTCCTAAATCAATATACCAATAGTGTTAAAGAAAGAGTAAGTTTCTTTTCCAGTTCCAAAATGGAAACTACATAATTGTCTTTACGGTTAACGAAGATTCCTAGAAGTTCCCCTTATGTGTTTTGTTTAGTAAAGCAGCATAGAAGATACCCACGTTGGGAACACAATCTTCACCTTCATAGAGTTGGCCTTGACATGGAATCCATCCTTTCAATCTCTCATTGGAGACCATGATAAATGATTAAGGAGGAGGAATTGCAGGCTTAATCTGACCTTCCAGGAAAATTAATTTCATAATTGTGATTCTAAAACTGAGGAGTCCAGTGTCGACCTTAAGAAAAAGAGCTCTACTTACTATACAAAAGGCAAGGATGGGAAGGCCCAGCGAAATCCAATTGGGAATGGTTTTCCAAATGAGGCATTTTCTAAAAGATAGGGTTATTCAATTTTACTCTTTTCCTTATTGGTTATTAAAGTTTCATTGTTTTCAGCTTTCTGTATTCTTAATTATATTTGACAGTCAAGGATCTAAAAAGCAGTGGATAGACAAATTACTACCAAATGCTACTGGGAAATAGATTTATAACTATGCTGAATATTTTCATTCTTGAAACTCTTGGCAACCATCAATTGCTTCACACATGATATCAATTAGAAGACAATAAACGGCCTCAAAGAATGCATGCTGGCAAAAAAAAAAAAAAAAGATTAGCCCAAAATTAGTAAATGTGTCCTGGCAAGAGCCACCAAATTGAGTGTATTTTGCAACTTCAATACATATCACAGGACATAATGGCAGCAGCTTCACAAATAATGAACACATACAAAAAAAGCTTGGAATGGCTTAAACAAAACACAAAGATCAATTACCACCGTCAAGGTTCATCAAGGGGAAATAGATTATTTCTACTTATTTAAACGAACATAAAGCTATTTATTACAAAACATTTTTTAAAAAAGAGTATTTCGATTGCCAAAATCAACTGTGATGCAGTCAGTTTCAACAAATTCCACAACTCAGAAAAAAAAAAAAAATTCCACAACTCAGGACACTTGTACTATCTATAAGGAAAAGACGGTAAATAACTATGTACCTCTGGTAAGGGTCAATAAAATAGTGAGTTTATCCTCTAAGACAAGAAAGGTGAAAAATAAGGGATAAGAAAATAAGCATTCTCTATAAAAAATGAAGTTAAGTGATTGCCAGTATTGCTTTATGATTTATTAGTACTGATCTTAATACAAAAAGGATTTGAAAAGGCTACATCTATTTGTTCAAAAGACAAGGTGGATTTATTTCATTTGCAATCTGTCAGCTGAAGTTCTTTAAAAAGTGAAATTTTTAAAGGTTTTATTTATTTATTTACTTATTTATTTGAGAGAGAGAGAGTGTGTGCACACGAGCGGGGCAGGGGAGGAGCAGAGGGAGAGGGTCAAGCAAACTCCATGCTGAGCGCAGAGCCCAACACAGGACTTGATTTCACAACCCCGAGATCATGACCTGAGCCGAAACCAAGAGTCAGACGCTCAACCGACTGAGCCACCCAGGCGCCCCTTAAAAGTGAAATTTTGATAAAAACACCATATGGGATTTGGATTTCATAAAACAAAAGGAAACACAACGGGGAGGAAGGAAACACAATGGAAAAGAGAAATGCCTTTAACCAAGCAGAAGAAGGAGTATTAAGGTATGAAAATAAGACACAGGCCTCATTGAATAAAATACCTAGACATGATGTCTCAATTCCTCTACAAGAGAATGGAATGCAAGAAGCAAAGTGGCTGCTGTGGGTGGAACATTTGTGTCCCCTCCAAAATTCGTATATTGAAATTGTAATTCTCAAGGGGGTAGTTTTTAGGAGCTGGGATCTTTGGGGGATGACCTGGTTATGAGGGCAGAGCCTTCATGACTGGGACTGGTGACCACATCAAGAGTCTCCAGAGAGCTCTCCTGCCCCTGCAGCTATGTGAGGTTAAAGCTGTCTATAAAGATGGCCATCTAGGAACCAAGATGGAGGCCCTCAGCAGACACTGAATATACCAGCACCTTGAGCTCAAACTTACCAACCTCCAGACCATGAGAAATAAATGTTTGTTAATGAGCTACCCAGTTTACGTTATGTTGTAATACAGCAGCCTGAATGGATTTCGATCCTATTTAGTAAAATCCTCTGGGTAGTAGTTTGGATTAGGGGAATAGACTTCAACGATCCTAAATTGTCTCCTTTAAGTATTGAAAGAAGTAACAAGAGCTTCCGCATTGGAAGGATAGGGTACCATCTGTAGGAAGAAATGAAGTCACTGTCCTGTATTATGTGAGCTTTCAGGAAAAGACTAAAAACAAAAAACTACTTAGAACCTCCTTAATGGCACTCACTATATCCAACTGTGTACCAATTTTTCAGGAGCAAACTCAACATTTAAAGAGCACCTATGTGGGCAGACATTATGCTAGGTTTCTTTTATTTTTTGAGTAATCTTTTATCTTCATTTAAAGAACTAGAAGCTCAGAGGTTAAGTAAACTAACCAAAGGACAGGAAGCCAATAACTGGTATATACCAGGTACAGTCCCACCATTGCCCCAAAACAAAGACGCTTCCTGCCACATCTGGTACATTTTTCGTATCTCCAGTACTAACTACAGTTAATGATATCCTAGAGAAAATGGAATGAGAAAAATCAGCACCACACGCTGAGCATTTCTTAAGAGTTAATAAGGATCTACAAACAACAGAGCCGTGTAATAACAGCAGAGGATGAGTGGAAAACACAATGGAATTATAGACACAGTAAGACAAAATTACCATTTGTTAGAGGGAAAAAGTTAATTTTGGAAAGGACTTGATTCCTGTTTGGAAAAAATAATGAAAAGGAAATACTCCAAAATGGTAACACTGATCACCATTTGGAGGTGAAAGTATAGAATTCTCTCTTCTCTCAAAGCTTCTATTAAAAACTCATTTCAGGGGTGCCTGGGTGGCTCAGTCGGGTAAGCGGCTGCCTTCGGCTCAGGTCATGATCCCAGGGTCCCGGGATCGAGTCCCGCATCAGGCTCCCTGCTCTGCGGGGAGCCTGCTTCTCCCTCTCCCTCTGCCTGCTTCTCTGCCTACTTGTGTTCTCTATCTCTCTGTCGAATAAATAAATAAAATCTTTTAAAAAAAATTAAAAAAAGAACTCCTTTCAAATAAATAAATAAATAAAATCTTTAAAAATAAAAAGAAAAACTCATTTCAAAATGAGGTTTAGAATTATTTACCATGAAAGCAAGATCATTATTAAAGTGACACTTCCCAATTCCAGATGACTAATTGAAGCAATAAAAACCAAAAGTCCTTGGTTTTGAGTAGTTGACCCCTGCTGTAACAGCGCTCTGCTTTGAAATCCAAACAGCTTTGTCCATCACTGGGCCCATGGTCACAAGCTGTCCTCAGCATACATTGGTTCCTAAATAGTGATGATGCTCACTCTCTGCTAAAATAAGTGTCTACCCAAAAGAACAGTAGTTTAGTCTCCTACCAAGATCCTGAGTAAACCTCCCTCGAAGGTCTATTTTCCTCATCTATAAAATGGTGTTTTAATCCTCATATTGCAGAATTAATGAGAACCATAAATGGAAAGTACTTAGCACAAGAACATATAAATACAAGTAGAGTCCCACTGCCAATGATGTATTATTATATCATTATATTCCTTATCTTATCAACCATAATTGCCAACGCTAAGAGATTTCCACTTAGTCTCCTTCACTAAAAGACTCCAATTGTCTAAGTATGTCTCACTGTGTCAAAAACTTTGGTTAGGTTGATCAGTGATCTTTGACATAATTATCCCATTTCTCCAAGATGGTTAAGATTCTCTCTGCTGTGTTGTCACGTGGGGAGCAGCCTCAAGTTCAGAAAATGTTTAGAGGTGCAAGTCTAACATCAATCCATCCTACCCAAACTGATCACTAAGAGCCAACAATAATTTTTGCTGGTTATTAAACTGCCACAGGTGTATGCCAATCTCTTCTCTTCCTCTGCTTCTACAGTGTGCTAATCACAAACCTAATGAGCAGATTTATTCAAGAGATCTCCTAGGAGCATAACTTTCCCATCTCTGTTAACAAAAAAATATAAAAATAAAAATAAGAACAAGGGAAAACATAGAGTGGTTGTCTTTAGCCTCTAGACAATGTCCGCAGGACCAGATGTTTCTAGACTCCCCTCTAGAAAGAATGTGGCAAGTAGGTCTTGCTTTGCTTCCCAAATAAAAACCTCTGGGAATGAATACTCAAACACTCAATTAAATGAATCTAAACTTACATCCTTGTAACTACTATGGCTTGGACAATATTTTCTTCAAAATGATCCAAAACAATGTTAAAAAGCCTACCTCCGCTTGGCAGAGCGCGTGAAGACCTTGGAGGACCAAGGCTGCCGGAGTGGCTTGATCAGGTTTGGTGCATTCATTCAACACCTGGGAAGCGGCTGCCAACATATCCGCTCCATGCTGGTAGGGCCTACAAGAAACGATAGTTTAGAAACAAGATTAAAGCCAAAGAGCACACTCCCCCTCCCAGGACTTCTGCCTGAACAAACAGCATTAGTGCTTTTCTTTACCCTTATGTCCATTAAATGTTGACCCTCAAATACTAACATATGTTTTCTGCCAAGATTTGCCTCATCGTCGTTCCTGCTGTAACATAAGGCTCATTGTTGATAAAGAAATATTATCCAAGCAAGAGGGCACTTGCTAACAAATTTTCTTCTCCCTAAACTGTAAATCCTACGGCCTGAATTGACAAAAATTCAAGTCTATAATAATGGTGAGAAGAACTGACTTACCTCATTGAGATTATCAGTAAAGATAGAGCTATTCCTGCCTGCCGGGTGCTCTGGTATCAGCCACTGACTACAAAGGCAGGGACTGGAGATGAGAAGATAATTTATTACAGCAGTGATACGCAGGTGGTTACACCTATCACAATAATGATGCCGATGATGATGATAAAAGTAATGACATGAATTATAACTGACTAAACACCCATCTCACGCCAGGCACTACACTGGATTCACTCACTCCTCCTCCTCCCCTTCCTCCCCTCTCTATTCCACATGCAGTGTGCTATCCCCAGAATGATATTAACTTCTCAAAGAAATGCTCAGGTCCACCCTTGGCTTTCCTTGTCACCGCTGAGTGATAGAATGGTTTTCTCGAACAAACTACCAGCTGATGAAAATTGCCTGGTTGGATTCTACTGTTTCACTGTCAGACAAACAGTAATCATTTTCCAAAACTGGAAAATTTTGGCAGACCTTGAGGTGGAATACTGAATAAGTTATCAACAGACGCTGACCTGCTCTGATATTTAACCTCTCCTGAAGCTGAGCTTTAAGCGTGAAAATCAAAATGTTGGCTAATAGTCCTTCATCTCTAAAATGTTTTCCATTCCAGTAGCTCCAGAGAATCCACACTCCCAAGTCTTAGGTTTCATGTGTGTGACTTGTAGAGTGAGGTTATGCTGGTGTTGCCAAAGGCTGAAGCTTAGAAAAGAGGCAGAACTGCTGAGGTTTAGATACATCCTGATCCCAGACTTGAAACAAGAATCATCCACGTTACCGGCTTTAGGATTAATCCCTAAACTACAACAGCAGAGTCACCTCCCTAATACTTTCATGTCTTCCTCAACTCTAGGGCATACATGGGGATTCAAGATCAGGCCTTCCTTGTAATAATTCCTAGTAATAAATTCCAGGCAATGAATCACAAATGAGATCTTCCCTATTCAAACCCTTTATAACAATTAGACATAACATAGGGAAAATATAAGACAAAACAGCTGACTACAGGGACAGCTGGGTGGCCTAGTCGGTTAAGCGTCTGCCTTCAGCTCAGGTCATGATCTCAGGGTCCTGGGATCGAGCCCCACATCGGGCTCCCAGCTCAGCAGGGAGCCTGCTTCTCCCTCTGCCTGTGCTCTCTCTCACTCTGACAAAAATAAATAAATAAAATCTTAAAAAACAAAAAACAAAAAACAGTTGACTATAGCCCACTGCTTAGGTTTCAGAGATTTGTATACAAAAAAAAAAGAAAGAAAGAAAGAAAAGAAAACATAGCATCACATTTTTTATTATAATAATAAATTATTATCCAGAAGAGGATACAAATGTCCTATAAACTAGATACAAGGCTAGGTCTGAAATATAAAGGACATGCTTGCTTCTCAAAGTTATTATCCAATCATACTAAGTTCTACTATCAGAAAACTGGAACTGAAAATTAATTTATTCTTACTCAAATATCCTCTGCCTATCATTCCTAGTCTCTTGCTTGCAACAAAAAAATTAAAAGCAAAAGAATGTGTCATGATATCCATTCCCAAGGATTAAGCGCATCTTACCTTTGCTTACATATGTCTCTGATTGATGCTGCTTTGGCGATGAGTTTTTCCCACTGGACTTCCCTGCCCACAGACAGAGAAGGTACATCGGACGTGGCCATGAGACGCTGCAGTTCAGGGTAGACACGATCCTAAGAAGGCAATTTCATAAAAAAGGTAATTTCCCAACTTGAGTTGAATAATCATTTTACATAGCATTTTTACCTCCAAATCCCACATTTGCATTGCTAATTATAATGCATTTCTTCTAATCAGCAAAGAAGAATGCTTTTGTGATTGCTAGGGATTTTCTTATAGACCCATTTCTGTTCATTTCATAAGACAAGAAAAAGGTGGCTGAATCTCACCCTAATTACAAAGGCTCTAATCACATGTAATCATATTTCTATTACTTTTTCCATGCAGATGGAAATATAAATTTCAGAATTAACAAGATAAGTTTTTTTCTTCTATTCTCAATTTCTCTTTGAGAGTCAATCACAACCGACTGCATTACAGATCAAAAGCATCACGCCAAACCAAGATTTCTGAATGCAATCACTGATGCCACGCCTTAACACTACTATATCAGGGCCCTGTCACACACCTGACAAAACTAATCTGCTCTGGTGAAAGGAACATGTTTAATACACAAGCTTATCTCTAAGCTTACCTGCTTTTCCCACAACGATGTCAATAAGCGCAGAGTGACAGCTCTTAGTTGTGGAGTGGTTCCAAGAAGCTGGATCACTCGCAGAATCTGGCCTATACACACCTAGAAAATATTGAAGAAATGTTGGCTTCACAAATATAAATGTAGGTAATCCCAAGGTGACCAAAAGAATGTGAAAATCCCTTATTATAGAATAAAGACCGAAATGGAAGCTAACGACAATATGACCCACCTTCTCAGAGGTGGCGGATAGTTTGGGGGAGGGGCTAGCTAGCGAACCTGGGGGTGTAAGACCTAATCTCAGACAACAGCCAATGGGAAAATTTGGCTATTAAATGATTTCAAAGAATTAATTCTTAAATACCATAATAAATACTTCTGGCCCAACAAGGGAAGTAGCAGTCATAGCAAAATTAAGGGCTCAAAATTCAATGTATTATGCATGCCTCACTCTCTTTTTGTCCCCAAACTGGTTAATATACAAACCTTGTGAACACCAAGTGTAGGTAAAGTATACAAGATGTCATTATACAACACGGGTTCCAGTGGTCTTCCCAATTTGAACATTAAAACTGGAATCAGATTTGGTACCTAAAATGAATGTAAAGAATATATTTATTATGCCTCCTAAAGGAAATTGATCTCTAATGCGATCATTATTTTGTTTTTCTTCAAAAGAATAACAGGAATATATATATAACTTTGAAGACAGAAAAAAATGTTAGCTAGCTATTTGTTGTCAGTGGTAATTTCATAGTACCACTAATATTCTATCTCTTTTATAATGACCTGCCAAATACCAATCAAAAAAGTTTTTCTTAAATATATCCTGCCCCAAAGAAGTTTATAGTTCTAATGAGAAGCTAAAACGTAGAATATATAAACAACAAAGTAACTGTAGAGTGAAATGTGTTATTCCAATATGAAATATATAAAATTAGTCATACTGTAAGGGGGTGGTTAATGGACAAAAATTTCTCTGCAGGTGTTCATTTCAATCCCTATGCATAACACAATAAAAAGAGAAGCACAATTCATTTGTGGATCAAAAAACGTAATACTGTTAATATAGTAATATTTTCCAAATAGATGTACAGATTCAACACAATCCCATCAAAATCCTAGCTGGCTTATTTGCCAAAATTGAAAAATTGATTCTAAAACTCATGTGGAAAGCGAGGAATCCCAAATTGCCAAAACGATCTTGAAAAAGAAAAAAGTTGGGGCGCCTGGGTGGCTCAGTCGTTAAGCGTCTGCCTTCGGCTCAGGTCATGATCCCAGGGTCCTGGGATCGAGCCCCGCATCAGGCCCCCTGCTCTGCGGGAAGCCTGCTTCTCCCTCTCCCACTTCCCCTGCTTGTGTTCCCTCTCTCTGTCAAATAAATAAAAATCTTTAAAAAAAAAAAAAGTTTGAGACTCAAACTTCTCAGTTTCAAAACTTACTTCAAAGCTACAGTAATCCAACAAGGGTGGCACTGGCATAACAACAAAACATATAGATCAATGAAACAGAACTCAGAGTCTAGGAATAAATCCTTACATTCATGTTCTATTGATTTTTGATAAATATGCCAGGAAAATACAATGGAGGAAGAAGAGCCTTTTTGAAAAATGGTGGATTTCAACAATTAGATATCCACATACAAAAGAATGAATTTGGGTCTGTTTCTCACACAACACATAAAAATTAACTCAAAATAAATTTTTAGACCTAAATGTCAGGGCTAACACTATCAAACTCTTAAAGAAAATATAATAGTAAATCTCTGTGACCTTAGACTAGGCAAAGTCTTCTTAGATATGACACCAAAAGCAAGTACAACTAAAGAGAAAGAATAGATTTCATCAAATTAAAAGTATTTGTCCTTCAAAGGACACTAGAAAGAAAATGAAAGACAACCCACGGAATGCGGGAAAATTTTTTACAAATCATCTATCTAATAGGGGATTTGTATCCAGAATATATAAAGAATTCTTATAATTCAATAATGAAAGGACAAATAACCCAATTCTAAAAGAGCAAAGGATCCAAAGAAGATAAAGAAATGTTAATAAAGACTGGGATATTCAACCATCATCAGCCATGACGTAATTGCAAATCAAAAGCAGAATGACATACCACTTAACATCCAATAGGATCTATAATAAAAAAAAAGAAAGAAAAAAAAAAAGATAGACAATAGCAAGTGTTGGCAGGATGTGGAGAATCTGAAACCATCATCCTCTCCTGGTAGGAATATAAAACTGGTGCAGCCCCTTCAGAAAACAGTCTGGCAGTTTATCAAATGTTTAAACCAAATTACCATATGATCTAGCAATTCTACTTCTAGGTATCTACCCAAGAGAAATGAAAACATATCCACACAAAAAACTCCTACATGAATGTTCAGAGCAACATAATTCATAATAGCCAAATAGCAGAAACAACACAAGTGTCCATCAACTGATGAACTGATAAATAAAATGTAGTATAGCCATACCATGGAAATATTGTTGAGCCATAAAAAGGGAAAGGAACTTTGCAAACATCATGTCAAGTGAAAGAAGCCAGTAACAAAAGACCACATATTATATGATTCCATTTACATGAAATGTCCAGAATAGGTAAATCTAAAGAGTAATTGCTTAAGTAATTGGAAACTAATTGCTTAAGATTGGAAAGGTGTAGAGGACAATGGGGAGTGACTGCTAATGGATACAAGGCTTCTTGAGGGGATAATGAAAACGTTCTCAAATTATTTGTAATTACATTTGCACAGCTCTGTGAATATACTAAAAGTCACTGAATTGTACACTTTGGATGAATTATATAGCATATAGAGAGCATAGAGCATGTGAATTATATCTTCATAAAGCTATTTTTATAAAAATTCAATTCAAAATCTGTGAAGCTATGAGAAATTACTATGAGCCTATTGAAAGCACAATGTAGCACCAAAAAAATTCTATTTTCCTCCCAGTACATTTCACACTTTTTTTATCTAGAATGTTAAATTTCCTCTATCTGCTGTAATCTTAGAAAGCCTGTTCCTTCTAAGCTTAGGAGGACATCTACTTTAATCTACTTTCAAGAAGGGAGAAAAATCCTTAATTTACTTTCAAGAAGGGAGAAAAATCCTCTACTAACCTACTAACCAAAAAGTAACAGTTAAGCATTAATTCATTAATGAGCCTGACCATGACATACCATGGCAGCATTTGGAGCTACGCATGTAATGGCTAGATTCACAACGCTCAGCCAGAATTGATGTTTTTAACAAGTGCTGAGGCTCTATTAGAACACAAGTTCCATCACCCTACCTTGAGCAAATGAAGGGAGACAAATTTTTGAATTGGCTTCTTATTCCCCATTTTAATTAAAAACAAAAGGTTATCTTAGATTGCATTGCCCAAGTTTCAATTACCCCTTCTGGTAAGATTTCTACTAAGACACTTTGACAGATTCTTAGTTCTGGGAAGGCAATCAGTACATTTACTGACATTTTATAAAACAGTGTATTTAGCTTCTAAAAAACTGTTTTAATTATATTGTCGGAAAAGAAATAAAGTACTCTATGTTGAAGAGTACAGTTTGGTGTTTTTTTTGTTCGTTTGTTTGTTTTTTACAAGCCTCAGACTTAAAGAAGTATGTATGGGTGTTTATTTTTTCCTGGTGAGTTCATAAATGAAAAAACGTAAGTGGGAAAATTTTACTGTAAATAATCTTAAACTTAATACGGTTCAAAGGCTATTATACCCCAGATTAAATCATCAAAAGTCAATGGGAAAAACAAAATCGGTGTTATTTCATTAGGAAAACACAGATACAAATATATACATATGGAAAATATTTTTTGTATAAAGTATGGACTGTTGTTTTCCTAATGAAATGACATACGTGAATTGATTGATTTACTTGAGAGGTAATTATGAGCTCTTGATTCCTCTGCTCTAAGATTTTATTTATTTATTTGAAAGACTGAGAGAGAGAGAGCAATCATGAGCAGGGGGGATGGGTAGAGGCAGAAGCAGACTCGCCTCTGAGCAGGGAGCCCAATGTGGGACTCGATCCCAGGACCCTATGATCATGACCTGAGCCGAAGGCAGACGCTTAACTGACTGAGCCACTCAAATACCCAATTACTCTGCTCTTGAGCATTCCACTGTGAAGCAGAAAAAAAGAATGAATTCTCTGACTTTAAATTTAAAATAAGCTAGAAAGCATGATCTTTTGGTTTCAGAAAATTCTATGCTTTTGCTTCCCTCCTTCAGAATTCAAGTCAATGATAAACAACTGATTTAGAATGATGGGAGCAGTACCTGGGTGGTTCAGTTGGCTAAGCAACCAAATCCAGATTTTGGCTTAGGCAATGATCTCAGGGCTGTGAGGTCAAGCCCTGCATCGGGCTCCCTGGTGGGCATGGAGCCTGCTTAAGATTCTCTCTCTCTCCCTCTTCCTCTGCCCCAACCCTCTCTTCCTCTTAAAAAAAAAAAAAAAAAGGTTTAGTTTAGAATGATGGGATTATTAAGGAGCCCCCATAAGACTATTAGCAGATTCCTCAGCAGAAATTTTATAGGTCAGAAGGGGGAATGCTAGATAACATAATCAAAGTGCTGAAAGAAAATTTAAAAAAAGAGAGAGACAACCAGGAATACTATATCCAGCAAAACTTTCCTTCAAAATGAAAGAGAACTACTTTCTCAAATAAACAAAAGCTGAAGGAGTTCACCCATCAGACCTGCCTTTCAAGAAATGTGATGGGAAATCCTTCAGGTTGAAATTAAAGGATATTAGCAACACAAAAGCATATCAAAGTATAAATCTCAGTGAGAAAGGTATAACACAGAGAAGAACACAGAATACTGTACTACTGTAATGACAGTACATAAATCACCTTAAATTCTGGTATGGGACTTAGAAGGCAAATGTATAAATGAAGATAACTATAAAAATATGTTAATGGTACAAAATATAAAAAGAATGTGATTTGTGACAACAATAACAAAGTGCGGGGAGAATAAAAAAAGAGCTTCTGTATGCAACAGAAGTTAAGCTGTTAACTTATAATACACTGTTATAGCTATAAGATGTTTTCTATAAGCCCCATGGTAACCACAAACAAAATACTTATAGAAGACACACAAAAGATAAGGAGTAAGGAATCAAAGCATGTCACCACAAAAAAAAAAGAAGAAGAAGAAGAATCAATGAAACACAAAGTAAGATAGCAACAGAGGAAATGAGGGACAAAAAGCTGTAAGACCAGGGTGCTTGGGTGGCTGTCAGTTAAGTGTCCAACTCTCGGTTTCAGCTCAGGTCATGATCTCAGAATCCTGAGATCAAGCCGGGCAACGGGCTCCCTGCTCAGCAGAGAGTCTGCTTAAAGATTCTCTCCTCTGCCTCTCCCCCCACTTGCTCTCTCTCTCTCTCTCAAAAATAAATGAATAAATCTTTAAAAAAAAAAAAAAGCTGTAAGAACTGACAGAAAATAATGAACAAAATGGCAATATTAAAGCCCTCTCTGTTTGTGATTATTTTAAATGTAAATGGGATAAACTCCCACATCAAAATATAGAGTGACTGACAGGATAAAAACCAAGATACAAATATTT